ATATATATATATATATATATCCAATCAACAACTACTGAGAGTCTACAATGTATAAAATACTCAAAAGGACTCATTCAATAACCCTTAATTTTTTAATGTATTGAAAATGCAGCTAATATATGTAGGAATGTTGAATACAAAATCTGACATATGGTAGCTCTAAAAATGTCTTATTTTCACTAATTGGTATAAAAGAAGTCATTGGAGAGCTTCACAATCAATCAGGAAAAATAGCTATGTATTAAAACACATATACCATAATATAAACATGTTTAAAATGTAACAAAAATACAAGGATCATGGTGGCAAACTGTATTTAAGGCTGCAGACAACTAAGGAAATATGCAGAAAAAAGAGAAATTTTAACTGGGCTTGAAGAAAAGCATAGAAATAAAGAAGGAAAAAGAAGAGACACCTAGGGATTAGAATTATAGGATGACAAGTTAGTTTACAGTAAATTGGTACAAATTTATCTATCCATGCAAGTATGCAGGTAGTCTGTAATTATTAGTGCCTACTCCTTCCAGGAAATGTGCCAGGCTCTGAAAAGCACAGGGGAGTAAGAGAATTTGTGCTTTCAAAGTAACTCACAAATCTAGCAGGAAATGAAATATAAATGTGTCAGCAGTTCATTGCAATCCAGTAGGAGGGATGTGAGCTCAGGTATCCATCAACATGGAATAAAGACATGTACTTCAGATACTCATAGGAAGTTTTCACAGTAGCAATGCTGACCAGGTTTGGCATAGAGACCACTCAACTAATAATGGACAACAAAGATAATGTGAAAAAAAAGAAGTATAGAAGAGGAGAGATGAATAGAATGTTGCATATTTTGTTCCTTTGCAGATGAACTAATAGAGATAAAGCTAGAAAAGGACAACAATAACAGACTAAACAAACCTATCTCCAAAAGGTTGTTGGGTGGATGGAGTTTTAGACTTTCCCAGAATTAATATTCATGGTAAATGACTGGAACAATTAACTCTGCTTCCTAGAAAAGAGTACTACTTTCAGAACACCTTGATACCCTCTTATTTAAGACAAGGATACCTATCAGAATGCTGTTGCAATAATTCAGGGAAGAATCTGGACTTGAACTAGAAAAAGAAAAACTAAGTGAGAAAAAGAGCACATCAAAGAAGATTCCAGAATTATAATGGATTGGTTCTTTTTGAATTATGGTTTGTTTGGAAATACATGACTAAGTCTCCAACTGCTAGCTACTTGTCTTGTTCAGAAAAATAAGGGCCACACAGTCTAGGCATATTTAATGTCTCCTTCCCTCCCAACCTTGTCTTTTCTTTCCTTAACAGCTAAAAACACATTTTATAACCCTCTTGCTGAAAAGATTCTGCATTAAAAACTGCTGTTCCAAAGTATAAAGATTCAGCTTTTGTATATTTTGAATGTTGTTTTGTATAACTTGTCCTCTTTCTTTCTCTACATATTTCTACTATTTCCTCATGCAAAGAGTAAGAGAACAAAAGCGTGACTGAACAGTTAACATACTGGACTAGAAGTATGACTCAAGCAGTAGAGTGCCTGCCTAGCAAACAGAAGACCCTGAGTACAGAACAAAGTACCCCCAAAATGTTTGTGTGTGTTTGTATAAAAAATTAACCATTGAGAAATTCCCCAGTCAATTTGCCATGATACATTTAGTGCTGCTGATCGCTTGTGCTCCTCTAAGTAGGCACAGCCTTGGCCAGGAACTCAGGGGCTCATCTAGTCCTGCCACAACTTGAAAAGGTTAAGAATTACAAAATGAAGCACTAGCCAGATGGTTAGTTTTGTGTTGTGTTCTGCTATTCCCTGTTTTCATGAGGTTTAAATCTGGAACTGTCTTTTTCAGTCTTATATAGACCTATGAACAACAGCTGGCTTCCAATCTTAATTCAGTGGTAACGTTTTGTTACCGCTGATTCTGTTCGTTTGGAAAATAAGCCAGTAACAGGCCTTAGGATAAAAGTCTACATGATAAAATAAAAATCTGTTCTAAAATCAAAAACTAACCTCTTAATGGTTGGTATTTGAAAAACAGTGCTGTCTTTAAACATTTGGAAAGGTATCAATGTGTAGTAAGCTAGATGACAGGAATGTTTGAAAACAAGAATCATGTTAAGGAAGTGCAAGCGAGTAGTCAGGGAAACAAAGAGAAAAGAATTCAAACCAAGGAAGTTTTCAGCATTCGCCCACTTGTTCATTAAGCCAATAAAACATGTGGAATTGTGAGGTAAAAGCTTAGTTTCTCTAATACTCCTATAAATATGTGTTAAGTTGAAATATTGCTCTCAAAACTAAAACAAAGAGTTAAATTTCAGAGCTTCCTGGGGTCATTGAGAACAAGAGACAAAAGAAAAAGGATTTAGGAAGCTGGGAGACTACTTAATCAGCATTTTAAGGGTTCCCCCCCCATTTAAAATGTGGTAGTTATTTCACAAACATGGCAGTAGGATAGAAATTTGAGTCCGCTGATGTCTGTGGTTATAAATTAAAAAAAATAAAGATGTCTCAACTGCATCATTCTCTGTGGCTTGAGGTATCAGCAAAGTAAACCCTTCAAAGAAAAACATGTGAACAAGTTTCCATTTCTTACTGACCTTATATCAAGTAAACAATTTTCTAAGTCACCAAGAAATTCCACTTTGCACGAAGTTAACTACTATAAAGAATCCATCCATATATATTCTTTAAACTTTAAGAAAAAATTTATCTTCCAAATTATTAAGTGTTTGCACTAAGCTTGTACCAATACACAAACTGAAAACCTCTCCTTTTCAATCCAGCTCATTAATTTCACTAATGTTACTTAATACAGTCTATATAATTCAGGAATAGGAATACTTTTAATTCCTCACTTGTAAATGGACATAAGAATGTTATAAATACTTAGATTTTTAGAATGAACGGATGTCTATGTTACTTGCAAAACTGTTTTTTTCTCTTTTAATGCTTAAAAGTAATTCAGAATGTTTCATTATCAGAAGTGGAAAATAAGCCATGGCTTACACAGGTAATCCTAGCTACTCAGGAGGTTGAGATCTGAGGATCATGGTTCAAAGTCAGCCTGGGCAGACTCTTAACTCCAATTAATCACCAGAAAACCACAAAGGGCCCTGTGGCTCAAAGTGGTAGAGTGCTAGCCTTAAAAAAGCTCAGAGACACTGTCCTGTCCCTGAGGTCAAGCCCCACGACCAACACCACCACAACTAACAACAACAACAAACTAAAAAACAGACTTTAGTTTTGGTGGTACTGGAGTCTAAATTTGGGGCTTTGCACTAGTGCTCTACCACGTGAGCCACATTCTCAGCTTTTCAAATTTTAGTTATTTGGGGGGTTTGGTTGTCACATTTTTGCCTGGGTCCATTCTTAGAACAGCATTCTCCTACCTAAAGCCCCCTGCTTACCTGGGAACAAAGATGGGAACCACCATACATGGCTCAATTGCTTAGATGTAGTCTTGCTAAATTTTTGTTGTTGTTGTTGTTGTTCTGGCTGGCCTTGAACTGCGATCCTCTAGACTTTGCATCCTAAGTAGCTGTAGGTGTTAGTATTTTTAAGTCAAATTGTTAATATTTTTAAGGCAAATTTCACCTGCATTTCTAGCAGTTTGAGAAAGAAAAAAAATTCTAAGTTCAAGGCTCCCCAAGCTTCATAGCTTATGTGAGGACAGCCTGAACTACATGAAAAGATTCTTTTCAAAGAACAAAAACAGCCAGGTGCCAATGGCTCATGCCTGTAATCTTAGCTACTCAGGAGGCTGAGATCTGAGGATCGGGGTTCAAAGCTAGCCCGGGCATGAAAGGCCAAGAGACTTTATCTCCAATAAACCACCAGAAAACCAGAACTGGCACTGTTACTCAAGTGGGAGAGTGCGAGCCTTGAGCAGTGGGAGAGTGCTAGCCTTGAGCTGAAGAGCTAAGGGACAGCACCCAGGCCCAGAGTTCAAGCCCCAAACCCACCCCCCCCCAAAAAAAAAGGTTTTCTGAAACAAAACAAAAAAATACTTTCTTTATTAAAATGTTTCTTACTCTGTCTAAGTATTGACTAATCATGTGAGATCTAGTAATTTGTTAACTAATTTTAAAAAAGGGAAACGAAGGCAACACTTCCATTTGTGTCAAAGCATTGAATCCATAAAAAGATCCCAAATTTTAATATATCTTATTTCATTGGTTATGTAATAACACAGTGTTAAAGAAACAATTAGCACAGTACTAAAATCAAAACTATGTAAAATCCACTGTCCTTCTTTTTAACACAAGGTATTTCCTTCTCTCAATGACTTTCTGAAGGTGCTACTTACCTCATTAAAGGTTCTCATGCTCATTTCTTGATCATCTTACAGAAGGTTTTGTTTTATGTATATTATACTGAAGCTATACCACTTAGATTGCTACACAGATTTTTTGTCCGACTGGGAAATAGCTATTGGAACACACCTCTCTCTCATTGTTTTATAATGTAGCTCTGTGATTACATGATCTACATGTCTTGTTCACACATAATGTATTTTGTGTAGTAATGAAAAGAATGCCTGGGCCAGGGTGGTCTCATACTTCAGTTTCAGATCTTCACCAAGCTTAAGGATCCAGGAACCACCTCCTGCAGGAAGCAGCCTTTGATTTCTGTGATTTCAAAGCTACCGTTTCCCTCTCTTAATGTTAGCAATGTCTTGATATGGTTTTTGAAAGTCCATAGCCCACTCCTATTTATTTTGTATATGTGATTAGGTATGTACTGTTACAAAAATTAGGAGCTTCTTACGTGGTGAAACCATTTTATATATATCCACCGACTCAATTAATTTTCACCAAATACATAAACCTATATAATCTGACTCTTACTGTGTAATAACAAAGAAAATACTTCTCAAAAATAGTTAATATATTTTCTCAAAATACCCCTGCAAAATCTAAAGCATGTTCAAGTAGAAGCAAAATGGGGTCGACTTTGAGATATGAATCCAAACTATAACAATGATTTTTACTTACTTGTCTCCAAAAAACTTTCTCCAGAATTCAGCAGCATCTGCTTTAGTAATGCGGAAGTTGTCTCCCTGGAACTGACCGTTGGGAAAGATTGCTTTAATTTCTGCCAGCATGTGACTGAAGATGAGGGACAGTTTTGTGAGATTTCGTCTACGGATATAGGAAAAATAAACAGAAAAATAAATCTCTATATGCATATAGATTTCAACAGAGATTACAAATAGAGGTTTGTATATCTACTGAAGTTTTGTTGGTTGATCATGATTCTTAATCAAGCACTTAAATTCTTAATAGGCTTTCATATGGTAATTTACTCATATATTAATTTAACAGGAGCATGAAGAGCATAAGATATATGATTTCAAAAATTCAGTTTAATGGAAGATCTAAGTATTTCATTAAAATGTGGTCAAATGTCAAATAAGATAATGCTAAGTGAAATGAATGCCAAGATAGGGACGCAAAAGATTTTATCTTTGTTGTTGTTTGTAATGTACTATGTAGTGTTTTTGTTTCTCTTGAATGTTCTTCCCCCGTATAACATCTGTTTTCACTGTATTTGATGTAGGGCACTGGTGTCCTACATCTTGTATATACATTTTTCTATTTGGGGAAGGGAAGGGAAATAACAAAAAGCTGAAATAAGGATACAGGTTGACCCATTGTAACAATAAGGTGTGCAAGACACTGTTGAAAATGAGCTTTACAACTTTGGGGAGAGAGGGAAGAGTTGGGGACATAGAGAGGAAAGCGATGGTAAGGGAAAAACAAAGGGGTAATAACAATGTACTCATTACCTTACTCATGTAACTGTAACCCCTCTGTACAGTGTCTTTACAATAAAAAATATGTTAAAATGTGGTCCAATATAAAAGATACACACAAAATCTAGTGTGACTATTTCTACTTGAGTTAGTAGAAGAAATCTGTCATTAGAGGAGAATCTAGAAAGTAGATGCTTGAAAGATGAAAGACCTGGAGTATAAAGATGGTGAAAAGTCAGACACTGATGTTTCACGCCTGTAATCATAATTATTCAGGAGACTGAGATCTAAGGATCCTGGTTTGATACTAGCTGGGGCAGAAAAGTTCCTGTGAGACTCTTATCTCCAATTAACCATTCAAAAACCAGAAGTGGGCTTGTGGCTTAAAGTGACAGAGCACTGGCCTTGAGCAAAAGAGCTCCCAGAGTGCAAGCCTCACAACTGATAGATTCTCAATAGCATATGAAGAATGGCTTGAACAGATTTTTGTCTCATCCTGTGGGTGCTCTCTTAATTTTGAAAATCATTTTCTTTCATGAGGAGTTTTTTGATGCAATCCCATTTGTCAATTCTTGCTGTTATTTGTTGAGCTAATAGAGCCCTACTCTGAACAAAGGAGGAGGCAACAAATGCTCAATAGGAAATGTACTCAGTACCTTGCTCATGTAACTCTAACCCCTTTGTGCAGTATTTTTATATTGAAAAAAGTACAAAAAAAACCCAAAGTTATTGCCTGGTGTCTGTATCTTCCAATGTTTTCCTACACTTCCATGTTGTAGTTTTAATGTTTCAGGTCTTATTATCTCCTTTGAATTGATTTTAGGGCACCCAAAGACCCATCACAAGTAATCCAAGAATACATGAACAATCAAATGGGACAGTTCATTAAAAAAGTTGAAGTAGCTAATAATTATTTGAAGAAACATATGACATCGTTAGCAAAAAATGAAATACAAATTAGAACAACAGTGAGATGTACTCTCACCCCAGTCAAGGATGGCTTTCATCAAGAAAACCAACCAGAACGTTGGCAAGAATGTGTGGAGAAGAAACATTCATACTTAACACTGTTAGTGGGAATGTCAATTAGTACAACTACTGTGCAAATCAGTAATGGAAATTCCCATAGATAAAATTACAAAAAAAAAACAAAAAACCCAGAACTACCATATAGTTTCTGAAGAAACAAAAGTAGAACTACCATATGTTCCTGCTAGACTACTCCTGGGCATGTACCTAAAGGAATGTAAATCAATATACAAAAGAGATATTTACACTCATGTTTACAGTAGCACTACTACAATAGCCAAGATAGGACAACAGCTTAGACGTCAAACAAAGTAACAATGACTGGATACAAAATAATGCTACAAATGTGAGTGTTTATGTGTGTGTATGCATACATGTTTGTATGTATATGGATAATGGAGTATTATTAGCCACAAAAAGAATAAAATTATATTATTTAGAGGAAAATGGTGAAAATGAAGATTCTCGTGTTGAGATATGCTAAACTCAAAGAAACATCACATACTTTCACTTATATGTAGAATCTAGTCCTTAATACGATGTGGTCCTGACAGGAAGACTTTGGGGAGGGGACAGCAAATGGGGGAGACTGGAAAAGACAATGGTATCATGCAGCAAATATAAAAGGGACAGTTAGAAAGAACAATACAGTTGGAGTAAACAGGATCAAAGTAAACTATAGATAGGTTATAAATATCCTTTTGTATAGAAGTATACCGACAGGAAATTAAACTAACTATTCATGTAACATCTATTTGACAAGACTGGACCTGAGCAGTGGGCAGCAGGAAGAAAAAACAGAGGCAGAGAAGTAGCTCTGATTTAGGCAATACATACAGAGAGGCCTGGAAATCAGCAAAGTAATATTTCTACCAATACTCTGCCCTAGCCGCCTAATAGTCAGATTTTCTAAGGATGAGTTTCACATATGTGCAGGTTCCCTGGGCAATTCTAATATGTGCTTCTCATTAAGAGATGCTATTGAAAAGAAATGGGAATCCAAAATTGATTTGAATGTCTAAAATCATACTGAAATTTGTCTTAGAAGAAAAAAAGCCACAGTAGTAGGAAAAGATTGTTTAGAAAGAAGGGAGTAACAGGTATTGTCTCCATTTCATTTCCAGATATCTAAGAATTCAAATACAGTTAAAAGAGGATTCATACTGTAAAGTAACACCATCATCTTACCATTTCTTAACACTACAACCTGATTTTGGTCAGTCTCAAATACCTAATGTTAAGATAATAAACAAACAACCCAAACAAAATTACTAAATAATGTTACTGTTTTTCACTGATCTTAGTTGTTGTTGTTTAGTTTTTGGGTTGGGGGGGGCTTTTTGAACTGTGGGCTTCACACCTGCTTGGCTTGTTTGCTCAGCTGCCACTTCACCACTTGAGCCATGCTTCCAGTCCTTGTTCTCGTTATTTTAGGGATAAAGCCTCAAGGACTTTTCTGGCTGAGCTGGCTTCAAACCATGATGCTCTATATCTCAGTCTCTGAGTGGCTAGAATTATACACATGAACCACTGGTGTCCAGCTGGTTAAGCATTAACAAAAGAAACCAATAGACACATGAAGAAATACTCAATCTCCCTAGCCATAAAAGAAATGCAAATCAAAACAACACTGAGATACCACCTCACCCCAGTTAGAATAGCTATAATCAAGAAGTCTAATAACAACAGATGCTGGAGAGGATGTGTACAGAAGGGAACCCTACTGCATTGTTGGTGGGAGTGAAAAATTGTTCAACCTCTGTGGAAAGCAGTATGGAGGTTCCTCAAAAGACTCCACATAGAGCTCCCTTATGAGCCAGCAATCCCACTTTTAGGCATTTACCCAAATGATCACAAACATGACTATTCTAAAGCTACCAGCACAACTATGTTTACTGCATCATTATTTACCATAGCTAAGATATGGAACCAACCCAGATGCCCCTCAGTAGATGAATGGATCAAGAAAATGTGGTATATATACACAATGGAATTCAAGCCCCCAACAAAAAAAATGACATTGCCCCATTTGTTAGGAAATGGAAAGACTTGGAAAAAATTATATTAAGTGAAGTAAGCCAGGCCCAAAGAAACATAGGTCCCATGGTTTCCCTTATTTGCAATAACTAGTATATGTCTGAGACAAGGAGAAACGGTCAGATAAGATGTTAAGCGAAATGAACCCCAAGATAAGGACACAAGTAGTTTTTTCTTTCTTGCTATTGTTTCTAATGTATTTATAAGATACCAGGTGATTTTTTTTTTGTTGCTTTGTATGTCCCTTCCCCACGTCATAACCCCAGTTTTCACTGTATTCGATGTTGGTATAATTTGTGGAGGGGAAGGGAAAAAACAAATTGTTTAAATAGGGATACAGGTTGACTCATTGCAACAATGAAATGCATAAGATGCTATGTCGAAAAACAAAACTTTACAATTTAAGGAGGGGGGGGGAGGAATGGGTGCAGAGGGGGTAGTGAGGGAAGTATAGTTGTGGAGATGGGAGGGAAGGGATGGTAGGGGAAAAACTAAGTAGGAGGCAACAATGCTTGAAAAGAAATGTACTCATTACCTTGCTCAGGTAATTGTAACCCCTCTGTTTTTTCACAAGAAAAAACATGTAACTTCCTAGGTAAAATGAATACAAAATAAATGAAGATAGTATAAAAAGGGAATATATAAATGAATTGAAAGAAAGCATTAAGGTACCATCTCAATAAAAATCACTGTAAAAATGAAATTGCTAGCTACTTCCATCTTATGCATGTAATGCCTTGCCACTTCTTAGCAGGGAGTCTCATTATTATACAAAAATGCACCATCGTTTTCTAACATCCAGTCATACTTCATCACATCTCAGTCTATCCAAGTGCAAATCTTAGAATCAGATGAGTCTCACATATAGACCAGATTTCCTCATTTAGATATGGCAGATATAAAATAATGGGTATTAGCAAATGAAAACTGAACTGCTTTCTTACATCAAAGAAAAGACTTGTCCCATTAAAAACTGCAAATAACATTTCTATACTTGAGCCTAAGGAAAGCATAAATCACCTTGAACAAATCTGTAATATATTATTTCTATAATTAGGCTAGAGGGTTAATTTTCCACAGAATTCTCAATTGAAACATAATTTTAAAAATTCAGTATGGTTATAATTAGGGAGAACCAACTGTTCTCTATTTTCTGAAATGGTTGCTTTCTACCTCTTGGTTCCTTTGTTCTTTAATCAGATCCAAATGTTTTTCATTTCTACTTATTAGATCTAAAGTCTGACACACAAAGCCTGTGTCACATCTTGGGCATTTGATCCACTGGCTACAGACACACAAGTTTAAAACAGAAATAGTAAC